AACGACTTACATCAGTCATAATACATCACACGGGGCAAGTCGTGCCCGAGAACGGGCGATCAAAGTGCAAAATCTCAAAACAACAGGTCTGGTCATTACATGGTTGCATTATTTGAGCAAGATACTACAAGATAATACTTGGATTAGCTTAAGTCATTTCTATGGTGTTGTATTGCTATTGAGGGCTGTTGTAAGCTAAATATAACTTGGATTTTAACTTGAAGCTACTGTAGGAGGTATGTATATTGTGTTCTTGAATATGCCTAAGGTTATCTTGATGTTGATTAAGTTAAATGGATAGACTAGACATGAACTGGTAAATAAAGTTGCTAATTGAGGATAGTTGAACTTGTGGATTGTGTTCGTTGTTATAAATATATAGTATAAGGCTGGAATCATTGATTAATGACTTTATTATCATGTTAATGATACTGTTAAGGAGAATTAAGAAGTCTATAAGGGGTGATATGGGGTATACGGATTCCAATCGGAGCTTGCCGTTCGAGTAGTTGTGACTTGTTGTTGCGATAGTGTGTCTTGTTATTGATATTTATATGTTTCTGGTCTCTGGGTGTTGTTGTTGTTGTTGTTGGTATATGGTATTGTAGGAGGCCCTTGTTACAGTGGAGATGCTGCCCAAATTTACATAAACGAGCAACTAGTTTAAGTTGCGGACTTAGCCTTTACTCAACACTGATTTTGAATCTCCGTATGCTATGGTAGATTGAGTTGAGTTGTTTGAAGAATAGCTTGGAATGTATTAAGGACTCAAAGGATTTAAGGTATGTTAAGGCACTTTCTTCTTTCTTTTGGCATGATCCATACGATACAAACGAAAAGAGGAAATGCACAATTTCCATAAATGGCTCTATTCATAGAAATACTAGAGATGCTTATGTTTTTGATTCCTCATGTGTCATATTATTCTATCATCTGTTCATAGATCTCAGAAAAATACGTAAGTTGAGAAAAATTTACTTCATGATATTACTCAAATGCATAATGGTCTTATGACATTCTAAGAGATTTTATTGACGTACTTCTCATGCATTGCATTCATGTACATTGACCCATGACCAGATGGCGTTATATACGCGTATATATGTATATATATATATATATATATGGGATATGGGATATGGGAAAAGGTTACGGCGTTATATACGCACCACCACCTGATCAGCTGGTATACGTTGATGATTTGCCCACAGTGGCCGAGATGATATGATGGGATGCCCTCAGAGGCTTGATGATGTTATGAACGCATATACCCATGCATGGTATGACATTTATACGCATATGCACAACATTATAATATTCATGTTGAGTCTTTTACTCCATGTTTCTCTCATGTCTACTAGTTACTGATTTTCATTCCTTACATACTCGGTACATTATTTGTACTGACGTCCCTTTTGCCTAGGGACGCTGTGTTTCATGCCCGCAGGTCCTGATAGCCAGGTCGAGAGTCCTCCAAGGCTATCAGCTCAACGGAAAATGTTGGTGCGCTCCATTTGCTTCGGAGTTACTTCTTTGGTCAGTATGATTAGTACATATATTGATTGGTATGAAGGGACCCTGTCCCGACCTTTATGATATTATGTATTCTTAGAGGCTTGTAGACAGATGTCATGTATACGGATATTTGTATGGCCTTGTCGGCCTATGTTTCGAGTATATACAGAATTATGTCAGCCTTATAGGCCCGTACTTCATATGTATAAGTTTGCATTTCCTTATGCTTTACTCCGGTTCTTTTACCTATGATAGAATGGTATAAAAGATACGTTATGTTGGTACTCGATTGAGTAAGGTACCGGGTGCCCGTCACGGCCCATCGGTTTGGGTCGTGACAGTAACACACCCCAGTGAGCACAAATGATATTTTGAGGGATAGATTTCCCTGAACATGGATTTGTCCGAAGTATTGATATCTTGAGATGGATTTCTCCCCAGGGTTGGAAAGCCCTTTGCCTCGGTATCGAGTGACTTATAGTCAATGATGAGTCTGTTCCGGGATGGATTTCCCTGGGTCGGGTGTCCATATGCGGTACCGAGTGGTTGAGTCTGTTCATATATATATA